CCCTGTTGAAATGACACTCAGGACTCGGCGCGGTGGCTCACGCCTGTAATCCTAGCCCTCTGGGAGGCCAAGGTGGGTGGATTGCTCGAGGTCAGGAGTTCGAAACCAGCCTGAACAAGACCGAGACCCCATCTCTACTATAAATACAAAGAAATTAATTGGCCAACTAATATATATAGAAAAAATTAGCTGGGCATGGTGGTGCATGCCTGTAGTCCCAGTTACTGGGGAGGCTGAGGCAGGAGGATCGCTTGAGCCCAGGACTCTGAGGTTGCTGTGAGCTAGGCTGGCGCCACGGCACTCACTCTAGCCTGGGCAACAAAGTGAGACTCTGTCTCAAAAAACAAACAAACAAAAAAGAGATAATTTCTTAAAAACCCTTTTGGGGCTTCTCACATTCATCAGCTGAAATGTAGGGGAGCCTCCACCCCAAATTCCCCTTTCTCTCTCTCTCCCCGCGAAATTGTCCTCCACATCCAGCTCTGTGACTGCTCTAGTCTCACTCCGTGGTCCCTCCAGGCCTCAGCTCTTCAACATGTATGTCTGATTGGCAAGTGGGGGCCAGGGATGTGGCTAAACATCCAGCAATACTCGGGGGCCCCCCAAAACAAAGAACTGTTTGCCCAAAGTGTCAAGGTCTGGTGACGTAGATCAACTGAAGTTCTCCATCTCTTGCTTTGCTTCCCACAGCAAAGGTAACTCCCCGACTAATGAGGAAGCAAGACTCCTTCTCCTTTGGAACTGAGGTGGGAGGAAACACTTACAATCGCTTATAATTTCATATGTTTTCTTTTATCCCTGTGCCATAAAAATTAAATACAATGACATATACAAAGTGCCCGGCATGGTTGCTCAAACTCTGGGTGTTAATGGGTGCTCAAAAAATATTAGTTCTCATCCCTTTTTCTAGAAGGGAATGAAGAATTCAATTTATTCTTAACACAGTGTCCCTAAGCTAATAGCATCTCTCCCTACTGTGGCTTCCCACCCATAACTGCCTCAAATTTTTGAATATTTAAATTATAAAAACTGTTCACCTGCTGTAAGGGAATAGTAGTACATTCCCCAGGAAAATTAGATTTTGGAAATAAGAACATTAGAAAAACAGCAGAGAAAAGGATTATAGAAACTCAGCATTCAGCTGCTCACTACTGAAGGCCTCAATTAATATGTTTCAATACTCAACACAAACAAAATGTTTATTATGCAGCAACCAATGTTTAAGGACGGAAATGGCTTCTACCTGTTTTGTTTTGTTTTTTTTTTTTTTTGAGAAAGTCTCGCTTTGTTGTCCAGGCTAGAGTGAGTGCCGTGGCATCAGCCTCGCTCACAGCAACCTCAAACTCCTGGGCTCAAGCAATCCTCCTGCCTCAGCTCCCGAGTAGCTGGGCTACAGGCATGCACCACCATGCCCAGCTAATTTTTTCTATATATTTTTTTAGTTGGCCAATTAATTCCTTTCTATTTATAGTAGAGTCGGGGTCTCGCTCTTGCTCAGGCTGGTTTCGAACTCCTGACCCTCGAGCGATCCACCCGCTTTGGCCTCCCAGAGTGCTAGAATTACAGGCGTGAGCCACCACACCCAGCCTACCTGTTTTTAAAATACCACATTTTTTATTGTAATGACTGTGAGGCCCTTTGCATTTGTGTTAAAAATACAGAATTTCAATTTCTCTGCGCATGTCTTTTAAGTGATCATACAATATACATAAGATAAATTTACCATTTTCACTCTTTTTGAGTGTACAGTTGGTGGCATTGAGTACATTCACATTATCATGCACCTGTCACCACCGTCCACCTCCAGACCTTTTTCATCTCGCAGACCGGAAACTCTGTACCATTAAACAACGGCTTCCGTCCTCCCCTTTCCCAGGCCCTGATAACCAGCCACCATTCTGCTTTCTGGTCTATAAATTTGACTTCCTTAGGAACCTCATAATGAGTGGAATCATAAAGTATTTTGTCCTTTGGTCCTGACACATTTCACTTAGCATATTCACTTGGAATGTTCTCAAACAACACCCATTTGGTAGCACGTGTCCTTTGTGATGCGCGTAATATTCCGTAGGAAAAAGAAAATTGAAGATGGCCCATTACGAGATGCCAGAATACCCGACTCATTAGCTTCTCCAGAAGTTAGACGGTGCGGTCACATCACATTACCTAAAGTTATGCCAAATAATTTTAACAGCTTGAGTCCAACTCCTGCCAACATATTTCAACAAGTAAAACTCTGGGTGTGGACTGGGCATGTGGCTCATGTCTGTAATCCAGCCTTTGGGAGACTGTGGGGGAGGATTGCTTGAGGGCTCAGGAGTTTGAGACCAACCTGGACAACATAGCTAGACCCCATCTGTACAAAATTTTTTAAAGGAAATTAGCCAGGTGTGGTGGTGCTGCCTGTAGACCCAGCTACTCAGGAGGCTGAGCCAGGAGGATCACTTGAGCCCAGGAGTTGGAGGTTGTAGTGAGCTTTGATTGGGCCACTGCACTCCAGCCTGGGCCCAGCAAAACCCCTCTCTTAAAACAAAACAAAAACACCTGGTGAATTGTTTAGTCCTTTAATCATTTTACCAATACTCACAGAACACTCCTATGTGCCAAGTACTATGCTAGGCAAGTCCTTTTGGATCTGTTGGAAGAAGATTCATTCCTTAGATAGAACTAGTAGATATGGCCTGTGTTTCAGGAAAACATCAAACTTGCTGTAGACATTGCTTTAGTCATCTTGGATGACCTATTAATCAGCTGCTAGGAATGAGGTTAAAGAGGAACTTGAGTTTTTATTTAAAAAACTCTATCAGTACTCCATCAGCATTATCATTTGAATAATTCTGATTCTTTTTTGATGTGAAAATTGAATCTCTACTAGCCTAAGAGTTGCACGTTAAAAAAAAAAAATCAAGCCAATGGAAGAACTCAGGTATGTCATCATAATGAGAAACACATTCGCACATTCCTATACCCCACTGTGGCAGTCAAAATAATGGCTCCCCAAAGATGTCCACACCTGTTTCCAGAACCTGTGATATGTTACGCTCACATGGTAAGAGGACTTTCTTTGCAGGTGTGATTAAGGATCTTGCGATAGGATGATCCTGATTAATTCAGGTAGGTCGATTAATTAATCACAAGTGTCTTAAGAGAGAGGGGCAGGTCAAAGAGAGAAGAGATGTAAGAGAAAACAGGTCGAAGTGAGGCAGGGCCATGAGCAAACGATGGAGGGGCCTCTAGAAGCTCAAAAAGGCAAGGAAATGCAATCGCATCTAAGCGTCCAGAAGGAATGCAGCCACCGGCTCCTTGATTTTAGCCACCAAGACTGGTACTTGGATCTGCAGAACTGTGAGATAACAAGTTTGTGATGTGGTTTAAGCCACTAAATTTGTACAATGTGTTACAGAAGCAATAGGAAAACCTGCAGATAGACCTTTCTGAATCACCCGACGTCCTTATGTATTCTATAAATTACCTCTGAGTGTACACAGCCATCATTGGCCAGGCGTGTGGCTCACGCCTGTAATCCTAGCACTCTGGGGGACGAGCAGCAGCATTGCCAAGGTCAGGAGTTCGAAACTGAGCCTGATGAGACCTGTGCTCTACTAAAGAAAGAATATGTATTCCAACTAAAACTATTATAAAAATTGCCGGCCGTGTGCACGCTGCTGTGAGTCCTGCAGCTATTCAGGAGGCTGGGCAGGGGAGATCTCTGACGCCCAGGAGATTGAGGGTTGCTGTGAGCTAGACTGAGCCACGGCAACTCACCTCTTAGCCTGGACAACGAAGTGAGACTTGTCTCAAAAAAAAAAAAAAAAAGACACAGCATCATTAAAATAATGGGAGAGGAGTGGTCTTTTTTTGAATTGTCTTTTTACAGTCAAGAAGCAAAGTACTTTTGTGCAAGTAAAGGGAAAGGGGTGGCAGAATGAATGGTACAAGTGCATCGGCCTTTCAGAGGGTCAGGCTGGGCTTAAAAAATGGAGATAAGCCAATTCAAAGCTGGTTAAGATTAACCACATACCTACCACACACCTTCGCATGGCCAGTTATCAGACACAGGAATTGACATTCAAGGAAACAGCAATCAGATAGAAAAGCACAATTCAGAGCCATTCAAACATTCAAGAAAATTATAAAGGGGAAGATGTACTCTTAGGATAATTGTTCTTTGGCCGGGCGCGTCAGCAGTTGATGAACATTTGGGTTGGTTCTATTTTTTGGCTACCATAAGTAATGGTGCTATATATGTTCATGAGCAAATTTTTGTTGGAAAACCTATTTTCAGTTCTCTCGGGTACAGGCATACCTCAGAGATACTGTGGTTCAATTACAAACCACTGCAATAAAGTGAATTTAGCAGTAGAGTCACATGAAATTTTTGGTTTCCTGGTGCATATAAAAATTATATTTACACCATACAGCAGTTTATTAAATGTGCAACAGCATAATGTCTAAAATAACAATGTACAGGCCTTAATTAAAAAACAGTTTATTGCACAAAATGCTAATAATCATCATCTGAACCTTCAGCAAGCCGTACTCTTTTTGCTGGAGGACAGTCTTGCCTCATTGTTGGCGGCTGCTGGCTGATCAGGGTGGTGGTTGCTGCAGGTTGGGGTAGTGGTAGCAATTTCTTTAAAAAAGACAACAAGCAAGTGGACATTTCCTTTCACCAAAGATCTCTCTGTAGCATGTGATGCTGTTTGATAGCTTTTACCAACAGTAGAACTTCTTCCAAAATTGGAGTCAGTCCTCTTCAACCCTGACGCTGTTTGATCAACTAAGTTTATGCAATGTTGTAAGTCCTGAGTGGTCATTTCAACAGTGTTCAGAGCATCTTCATCAGGAGAAGATTCTATGTCAAGAAACCACTTTCTTTGCTCATCCATAAACGGTCATTCCTCATGCCTTCAAGTTTTATCATGAGATGGCAGCAATTCAGTCACATTTCCAGGATCCGCATCTAACTCTTGTTCTCTTGTTGTTTCCATCACACACAGGTCCTTCCTCCACTGGAGTCTTGAACCCCTCCAAGTCATCCACGAAGACTGGAATCAACTTCTTCCGAACTTGTGTTCATGTTAGTATTTGGACCTCCTCCCATGAATCGCGAATATTCTTAATGGCATCTAGAATGGTGAATCCTTCCTATAAGATTTTAATTTACTTTGCCCATGAGAGAAATCACTCTTTATGGTAGTGAGAGTCTTATAAAACATATTTCTTAAATAATAGGACTCATAAGTCAAAGTTACTTCTTATTGATCCAGAGGCTGCAGAATAGATGTTGAGTTAGCAGTCATGAAAACAACCTTCATCCCCTTGCCCATCTCTAGCAGAGCTCTTGGGTGACCAGGTGCATTGTGTCAATGAGCAGTAATAGGCCGGGCACGGTGGCTCACACCTGTAATCCTAGCACTCTGGGAGCCCGAGGTGGGCAAATTGCTTGCGGTCAGGAGTTCGAAACCAGCCTGAGCGAGACCCTGTCTGTACTAAAAATAGAAAGAAACTAATCAACCAACTAAAAATATATACAAAAAATTAGCCAGGCATGGTGGCACATGCCTGTAGTCCCAGCTTCTCGGGAGGCTGAGGCAGGAGGATCGCTTGAGCCCAAGAGTTTGAGGTTGCTGTGAGCTAGGCTGACACCACAGCACTCCCTCTAGCCTGAGCAACAAAATGAGACTGTGTCTCAAAAAAAAAAAAAAATGAGCAGTAATATTTTGAAAGTCATCTTTTTTTCTGAGCAGTGGGTCTCAACATTGGGCTTAAAATATTCTGTAAACCATGCTATAAACAGAAGTATCACCTCACCTCCCAGGGCTGCCTCCATTTCCTTTTCTATGAAGTGGGGGGAAATGCTAACATTGCAGATTATGGCGATTAGAGATAAAGCTCACAGGAGGTGACCAGTAAGCTGTGAAGATACAGAGCAACACAGTCTGCATTTCCACACATATCCGGGATGTCTCAGCTATCACTGACAAGCATTGCACGTCGTAGGAGCTCCGGCATTATCAGCAGGTTGTTGTTTTCATTCCACTCTTAGCCAGCATCTTTTGGTGAAGGGTGAGAACCAGGCAGAGCTTCTTCTCTTGTGTATTTGTATTTTGTACATATGACAGATTCATTTTCTTATCTATTTATATCCACCTCTTCCCAAAAATTGATGAGACATAAGTAGGCTCTTATCTGGGTAGGCTCTTCCCAGAAAGTCTACTCAGAATAGTCATGGAGCCAGGAAAATGCTAGAAGGCCTATTTTACAACCCAATGTGTTGATAGGTAAACTGAGGGAAAGGGCTGGCCCTGTGGCTTCTTGGCCAGCAGCAGAGATGGAATTTGAGCACTGTGTCTGGCTGCTGAGTCCACGCTCTTAACTCCTAGACTACGTTCCCTTCAGCCCCGACTGAACTTCCAAAAAGAGCCACTCTGAAGCACACAGGATTCTGCCTCATCAAGCAAAACACAAAAGTAAGTAAAGAGAAGAGGCCTCAGATACCCCAATTACCCCAATTTGATTAATTCGTATTGTATGCCTGGATCAAAACATCACATGTACTCTATAAATATATACAATTATTATGTATTCATAATAATTAAAAATAAAAAATTTTTTGAGTAAAGAGAAGAGGCCTAAGAGAAAACAGCTTCTGCATAAGGTTAATAAGGAAAAAGGGAAATGAAATGCCATAATGCAACATACCCGACTCATTAGCTTCTCCAGAAGTTAGACGGTGCCGGTCAAATCACATTATCCATAAGTATATGCCAAATAATTTTTAACAGCTTTTGAGTCCAACTCCTGCCAACATATTTCAACAGTAATAAAATCTGGTGTGGACTGGGCATGTGGCTCATGTCTGTAATCCCAGCACTTTGGGAGACTGTGGAGGGAGGATTGCTTGAGCTCAGGAGTTTGAGACCAACCTGGACAACATAGCTAGACCCCATCTGTACAAAATTTTTTAAAGGAAATTAGCCAGGTGTGGTGGTGCATGCCTGTAGACCCAGCTACTCAGGAGGCTGAGGCAGGAGGATCACTTGAGCCCAGGAGTTGGAGGTTGTAGTGAGCTTTGATTGGGCCACTGCACTCCAGCCTGGGCAACAGCAAAACCCCGTCTCTTAAAACAAAACAAAAAACACCTGGTGAATTGTTTAGTCCTTTAATCATTTTACCAATACTCACAGAACACTCCTATGTGCCAAGTACTATGCTAGGCAAGGAGTCCTTTTGGATCTGTTGGAAGAAGATTCATTCCTTAGATAGAACTAGTAGATATGGCCTGTGTTTCAGGAAAACCATCAAACTTGCTGTAGACATTGCTTTAGTCATCTTGATGGACCTATTAATCAGCTGCTAGGAATGAGGTTAAAGAGGAACTTGAGTTTTTATTTAAAAACTCTATCAGTACTCCATCAGCATTATCATTTGAATAATTCTGATTACTTTTTTGATGTGAAAATTGAATCTCTACTAGCCTAAAGATTGCACGTTTAAAAAAAAAAATCAAGCCAATGGAAGAACTCAGGTATGTCATCATAATGAGAACACACATTCTGCACATTCCTATACCCCTACTGTGGCAGTCAAAATAATGGCTCCCCAAAGATGTCCACACCCTGTTTCCAGAACCTGTGATATGTTACCTCACATGGTAAGAGGACTTTCTTTGCAGGTGTGATTAAGGATCTTGCGATAGATGATCCTGATTAATTCAGGTAGGCTCGATGTAATTAATCACAAGTGTCCTTAAGAGAGAGGTGGGCAGGTCAAAGAGAGAAAGAGATGTAATGAGAGAAACAGGTCGAAGTGAGGCAGGGCCATGAGCAAACGATGGAGGGGCCTCTAGAAGCTCAAAAAGGCAAGGAAATGCAATCGCATCTAAGCGTCCAGAAGGAATGCAGCCCCACCGACTCCTTGATTTTAGCCCACCAAGACTGGTACTGGATCTGCAGAACTGTGAGATAACAAGTTTGTGATGTTTTAAGCCACTAAATTTGTGACAATGTGTTACAGCAGCAATAGGAAACCTGCAGATAGACCTTTCTGAATCACCCGACGGTCCTATGTATTTATAAAATTACCTCTGAGTGTAAGACACAGCATCATTGGCCAGGCGTGGTGGCTCACGCCTGTAATCCTAGCACTCTGGGAGGCCGAGGCAGGCAGATTGCTCAAGGTCAGGAGTTCGAAACTAGCCTGAGTGAGACCCCTGTCTCTACTAAAAATAGAAAGAAATTAATTGACCAACTAAAATATATAATACAAAAAATTAGCGGCGCGTGTGGACGTGCCTTGTATCCAGCATTCAGGAGGCTGAGGCAGGAGGATTATTGAGCAGGAGATTGGTTGCTGTGACTAGACTGAGCACGGCAGTACTTCTACGCCTGGCACACGAGTGAGCTGCACCTCCGTCTCAAAAAAAAAAAAAAGACACAGCATCATTAAAAGAATGGGAGAGGAAGTGTCTTTTTTTATTGGTCTTTTTACAAGGTCAAGAAAGCAAAATGTCCTTTTGTGACAGTAAAGGGAAGAGGGGTGGCAGAATGAGTGGTACAATGTGCAATTCGGCCTTTCCAAGAGGTCAGGGCATGGGCTATAAAAATGGGAATAATGCCAATTCAAAAGACTGTAAATAAGCTATCTACCAATAAAACCCTACACACACCCCTTCCGCATGGTCCAGTTTCAACACAGAATCACATTCAAAGAAACAGCAATCAGATAGAAAAGCACAATCAGACCATTCAAATTCGGAAATTATAGGGAGATGTACTCATTAACGAAGATAATTTCTTGGCCGCGGGTGCTCAGCCTGTAATCTAGCCTCTGGGCAGGCCAAGGCTGGGTGGTGCTCGAGGGTCAGGAGTTCGAGAACAGCCCGCCTGAGCAAGACACGAGGACCCCATCTCTGACTATAAATACGACAAGAAATTAATTGGCAATAATATATACTATCAGGAAAAAATTAGCTGGGGCATGGTGGTCGCATGCTGTACGTCCCAGTACTGGGCGACGGCTCGAGGCGCGGCGACTCGCTTGACGCCAGGACTCTGAGGTTGCTGTGAGCTAGGGCTGGCGCCATGGCACTCCACTCTACCGCCTGGGCGTGCTCCCTGTTCGCTCTTCCTCTTACTTTGGGGCTTCTCACATTCATCAGCTGAATGTAGGAGCCTCCACCCCAAATTCCCTTTCTCTCTCTCCCGCGAAATTGTCCTCCCACATCCAGCCTCTGATGACGGCTCTAGTCTCACTCCGTGGTCCTCCAGGCCTCAGCTCTTCAACATGTATGTCTGACTGGCAAGTGGGGCCAGGATGTGGCTAAACATCCAGCAAAATCGGGCCCTCCCAAAAAAGAACTGTTTGCCCAAAGGTCAAGGTCTGGTGACGTTGATCAACTGAAGTTCTCCATCTCTTGCTTTGCTTCCCACAGCAAAGGTACTCCCGACTAATGAGGAAGCAAGACTCCTTCTCCTTTGGAACTGAGGTGGGGGAAACACTTACATCGCTTATAATTTCATATGTTTCTTTTATCCCTGTGCCATAAAAATAATACAATGACATATACGAAGTGCCGGCATGGTTGCTCAAACTCTGGGTGTTAATGGTGCCAAAAAATATTAGTTCTCATCCCTTTTTCTAGAAGGGAATGAAGAATTCAATTTATTCTTAATACAGTGTCCCTAAGCTAATAGCATCTCTCCCTACTGTGGCTTCCCACATAACTGCCTCAATTTTTTGAATATTTAATTATAAAAACTGTTCACCTGCTGTAAGGGAATAGTAGTACATTCCCCAGGAAAATTAGATTTTGGAAATAAGAACATTAGAAAAACAGCAGAGAAAAGGATTATAGAAACTCAGCATTCAGCTGCTCACTACTGAAGGCCTCAATTAATATGTTTCAATACTCAACACAAACAAAATGTTTATTATGCAGCAACCAATGTTTAAGGACGGAAATGGCTTCTACCTATTTTGTTTTGTTTTGTTTTGTTTTTGAGAAAGTCTCGCTTTGTTGTCCAGGCTAGAGTGAGTGCCGTGGCATCAGCCTCGCTCACAGCAACCTCCAACTCCTGGGCTCAAGCAATCCCCTGCCTCAGCTCCCGAGTAGCTGGGCTACAGGCATGCACCACCATGCCCAGCTAATTTTTTCTATATATTTTTTTAGTTGGCCAATTAATTCCTTTCTATTTATAGTAGAGTCGGGGTCTCGCTCTTGCTCAGGCTGGTTTCGACTCCTGACCCTCGAGCGATCCACCCGCTTTGGCCTCCCAGAGTGCTAGAATTACAGGCGTGAGCCACCACACCCAGCCTACCTGTTTTTAAAAATACCACATTTTTTATTGTAATGACTGTGAGGCCCTTTGCATTTGTGTTAAAAATACAGAATTTCAATTTCTCTGCGCATGTCTTTTAAGTGATCATACAATATACATAAGATAAAATTTACCATTTTCACTCTTTTTGAGTGTACAGTCTGGTGGCATTGAGTACATTCATATTATCATGCCACTGTCACCACCATCCACCTCCAGAACCTTTTTCATCTCGCAGATCGGAAACTCTGTACCCATTAAACAATGGCTTCCCTTCCTCCCCTTTCCCCAGGCCCTGATAACCAGCCACCATTCTGCTTTCTGGCTCTATAAATTTGACTTCCTTAGGAACCTCATATGAGTGGAATCATAAAGTATTTGTCCTTTGGTCGCTGACACATTTCACTTAGCATATTCACTTGGAATGTTCTCAACAAACACCCATTTGGTAGCACGTGTCCTTTGTGATGCCGCGTAATATTCCGTTGTATGGCGGTAGCACATTTTGTTTATCCCTTCATCCATCCATGGACACTAGGGCTGCTTCCACCTTTTGGCAACTGTGAATGATGCTGCTGTGCACATGGGTGTAGCGCGCATGTTTTCTAAATGCTCAGGTCGCAGTGTCTGAGGGACTCATCCATGTTTAGTTTTGTATACGTTTAGTATGGAACTCGAATTTTACTTTTATTGGTCTGTAAAAATATACAAGTTAAGATTTCTAAAGCAAAATTAAGCAAAACAACAAATCTCATTATTATGAGGGTTAACAGCATATGGCACTCTTTAGTCAGCCTAGCCACGTACAACTCTAGGCAAGTACCTTCGTCTCCCAATAATAGTTTTTCTCGTCTATTGAGTACTTACTATGCACCAGACATTGAGGTAGGCACTTTGCATGTATTAACTCATGAAATGCTCATAGCAACTCTGGGAGACATGAATTCATGAATACCACCCATTAATAATTGCATCTACTTTTCATTCAATACAATCCTGATAACATTTCTTCCCCACCCCTAATGGCCATATCTGAAGAGTAAGCTCAGAATTTGCAAACTAATGTTAATATTAGCGTAAGCCAAACAAGATTTAGTAAGTCACCTCTACTATCTAAATTATATGAAAACAGTATAAAGGTGATACAAAAATCACATTCCAAGTTCAAGTAGAATGATTGATGTTACCCATCCCTTCCCTACTATGGATAATGACTGAAGTGAAATTTGAAGGACTTCAATTTGATGTCACGTTCTTCATCAACCTTGCAGGGCAACCTTGGACAAGTCACTTTACTGCCCCAAGGCTCATTTTTGTCCTGAACAGAGTACAGGCATAGGACTCAACAGTCAGTATGGTTCCTTCCAACTCTAATGTGCTGTGATTCTGAAAGTTCATATTGGTACCAGGCACCAATCATTAAAGCTGTGTCCCCATTTGGGGGCAAGCCCCTTGCCTGTGGACCAACCTGACAACTAGACCCTGCGTAGGTCAAAGCAGGATTATGCCCTGACTCCCTCAAACCTGTTCAACAAAGAGAAAACATATACCCAGTATAATGTGCAAGGCAAGATCTTTACATATGGATTGGATTCTACTGATTGAGTGAGCTATTTTTGGAAAAGGAATACTTACTCCCTCAAGCAAGCAGTTTCTAGATGGCTTCTGTACAGAGTTAACTCTTGATCAAACCTAACAACTGCTTCCTATCTCGTTACCATCATGAATGAAGCAGCTGGAATATTGAAGTTTTGCCGACCAGAAGACCATGCCCACAGCCTGTGACTTTCTGATTTCTAGGCCTTTACGTGTGCTATTTCAGCCACATGGTTTATCCTTCCTTCTTGATGGAGCTGTTATCCTTTCCACAAGGTGCAGTTCAAATGCCTGATTTCCCCTTGAAATCTCCTGGAATCTGGCCAATTGAAAGGTTGTTTTTTCCCCCTCTTCAGTTTCAATAGCATTAATTTATGCTTTTTTATTGACCTTTATCATATATTGCTTTGCCTTAGTCGCATGTGTATGTCTAGGATCTTTACCGTTGTCATCTTTGGAATCCTCAGAGCACCTAATGTGGCATGTTACAGATGCTCAACAAACATTGGCTGGTTGGGTGGTACCTGTAGACTACCGCATCTACCTGTAGATGACACCTGTGAGGTTGAATCTGATAATTCAATGCATATACTTTGTATCCCCTCCCCCCTCAGAATAGACATTGTTGGGCAGATTTCTGAATAGATTATGTATTCTGTATAACCCTGACACTGTCTAAATTTTCTTAATCAGAAAATGTGAGCATGAGAAACCCAGAAAACCAAATAGGAGCATCTTTGTTTTTTTTCTGGATGGAAAAAGTTTCTTCTTATACTTGGTTTGGTGCTGTCTTTAATGACCTAATGGGAGGAAAAACAGGCTTTGGCTGGAATGGCTTCAATAGTGTGCTGTAAAGTTTCCAGGAGATAAACAGTCAAAAAACAGATGATTTCAAAAGTCATTATGGATAATCTCGTTGGACACTAAACTGGACCAAATCTCATCACCCATAAACAACTTTGGGTAGGAATAATGGTTGGAAATACACAAACATGGACTGATACCAATTTGCAACTTCGGTTAAGAAAAAGTGGATGGCCTTTTGGAATTATCGAAGCTATTTATAAAAGCCCACAGGGCTGTGGATTAAGAATAAAGTATTAGAGAATTGGCAAGATGTAAAATCCACAGGCTAATGTTGCCCAGAACTAAGGAGTTCATCTTACATGTTGAAAGGGGGTGCTCTGTCTCACCTTGGAGGGCTGAGTGTTGCATAGTGTTCCAAGTATCGAAACCACGTGACTGAAGACCTGAATCATTAGTCAACATAAACAAAGATGTTAATTGGCAAGCAATATTTGCCATGAATAATTAAATCTAAGGTTGGCTGAAGTCAGATTCCAAGTAATTCCTTGATGTAAAACCAAACTCACTGAATAACCTCAAGGGAAGTTCCCCGTGTGTTACATGGAAACCGCAGTCCCAAGGTGCTGGATCTTGCTTTTGGAAAGAGAAAAAGCTGGCTACATTTTTCATGTTATCACCAGAGAGTCCTGTCCACCTGTTCAGTGCTTGAGATGCCCAGTCTTTGTTTTTTGTTCAAAATAAAGTTACATACATAAAAAATGGTAATTACTTTTTAACCAATTCAACACATTTTACTGAAAATATTTGTGCTTGTGTTAAGGGACACAGAGATGATTAATGCATAGTCTCCTTCCTCAAGGAGCACACGCTATATTAACAGTAATTACAGTGAAACATGATGAATGCAATAATATGGTAGAAATAGCATAGAAGCTCTCTTATCTAATGTACAGTAAGGCCTCCAACCTTGTTCTTTAATTGCTTTGCCAATTTTAGTTTGTTTGCATCTACATTTAATTTTCAAATCTGTTTTGTCAATTTCTATTAAAAAGATAAGTGAATTTTTTTTTCATAAGGGAAATTTAGGTTGAAATTGTGTTGAGAACATAGATCAACTTGGAGTGAAGTGACATCTTAACAATATTTAGTTTTACAACTCATGAACATGGTATATATCTCCATTTATTCGGATCTTCTTTAAAAACTCAGCAGTATTTTCAGTGTAAAAGTCTTAGAAATCTGATGGCCAGGCGCAGTGGCTCAGCTCACGCCTGTAATCCTAGCACTCTGGGAGGCCGAGGTGGGAGGACCGTTTGAGCTCAGGAGTTCGAGACCAGCCTAAGCAAGAGCAAGACCCCATCTCTACTAAAAATAGAAAGAAATTAATTGGCCAAATAAAAATATATATAGAAAAAATTAGCCGGGCATGCTGGCTCGTGGCTGTAGTCCCAGCTACTCAGGAGGCTGAGGCAGAAGGATCGCTTGAGCCCAGGAGTTGGAGGTTGCTGTGAGCTAGGCTGATGCCACGGCACTCTAACCTGGACAACAGAATGAGACTCTGTCTCAAAAAAAAAAAAGTCTTAGAAATCTTTGGCAGGTTTTTAAGTATTTTGTGTTTGGGGGCACTACTATAAATGAAATTTAAGTTTTATTTTCTTAGCATATAAAAATGTATTTGATAAATATTAAAATATATTTTATATTAATATATTACATATGCATATATATTATAAACATGATTTTTCCCTTCTAGCTTGTTGATACGGTGGATTACATTGATTTTCAAATGCTGAATAAGCTTTGCATAGCTGTAATAAATCTCTCTAGATACGGTGTGTAGATTTTTTAAACGTTTTTAGTTTGTCAATATTTTGTTGAGGACTTTTGCATCTAAGTTTATGAGAGATACTAATTCATAATTTTTTTTCTTTTTTGTCTTCTCTTTATCTGGTTTTGGTATCAGGGTAATAGTAGCCCCAGAAAATGAGTTCAGAAGTATTTCCTCTTGTGTTTTCTGGGATACATTATATAATATAGAGATTAATTCTTCTTCAAATGTTTCATAAAATTCTCCAGTGAGGCATCCAAGTCTGAAGATTTATTTTTCAAGAGCTTTTAAGTTATGTACTCAATTTCTTTAATACTTATAGAGCTATTCAGATTATCTGTTTCATATTGGTTGAGTTTTGGTAGGTTGTATTTTTTGAGGAATTGGTTCATTTCTTCTGAGTTGCTAAATTTATGAGGATAAAGTTGTTTTTATGTCTTTTTTGTCTTGTTTTTGTTTTGAGACAGAGTCTCGCTCTGTTGCCCAGGCTAGAGTGCTGTGGCATCAGCCTAGCTCACAGCAACCTCCAACTCCTGGCCTCAAGCAATCCTGCTGCCTCAGCCTCCTGAGTAGCGGGGACTACAGGCATGTGCTACCACACCCGGCTAATTTTTTCTATTTTTAGTTGCCCAGCTAATTTTTTTTTTCTATTTTTTAGTAGAGACATGGTCTTGCTCTTGCTTAGGCTGGTCTCGAACTCCTGACCCCAAGTGATCCTCCCACCTCTGCCTCCCAGAGTGCTAGGATTATAGGTGTGAGCCACCGCACCCAGCCATCAGATGGCTTTTGATGAGAGAAGGGTGTGGGTGGTGGGATCTACCTGCTGGTGTTCCCCATCTGCCTTCGTGTTTCTGGATGAGGGAGGCGAGTTTTGAAGCATGGGGATAAAGAAGCTCCTTGAACCAGGCCACCTGAGATGGTTGGGGCTCTCCTGCAAGATCCACATGCCTGCCTTGGTGTCTCTTGTCAGAAATGAATAGGCTCAAGTCTGGCAGGGAAAATGAGACATTGATTGAGTTTTGAATATTACATCAATCTTGCATTCCTGGAAGTTGCATCCAATTTGCTAATTTTTTGCTAAGAATTTTGCATTAATGTTCCAAGGAATTTTTTTTTTATTTTTTTTTTGAGACAGATTCTTGCTTTATTGCCCAGGGCTAGAGTGAGTGCCATGGCGTCAGCCTCGCTCACAACAACCTCAAACTCCTGGGCTCAAGCAATCCTACTGCCTCAGCCTCCCGAGTAGCTGGGACGACAGGCATGTGCCACCATGCCTGGCTAATTATTTCTATATATATATTAGTTGGCCAATTAATTTCTTTCTATTTTATAGTAGAGACAGGGTCTCGCTCTTGCTCAGGCTAGTCTCGAACTCCTGACCTCGAGCAATCCGCCCACCTCAGCCTCCCAGAGTGCTAGGATTACAGGCGCGAGCCACCGCATCCAGCCAAAGGAATATTGATCTATAACTTTCTTTTTTTGTAATGTCTTTCTCAGGTTTGAGTATTAAGGTTATGCTGGCGTCATAAAATGAGTGGGGAAGTATTCTCTCCTCTCCTTCCCATTAAAGATTGTGTAAGAGTGGCTTTACATCTTCCTTGAATGTTTCATAGAATTCACCAGCAAAATGATCTGGGCCCAGAGAGTGTTTTATTTGTGGGAAGGTTTTTGATAATGTATTTAATCTCTCTAATTGCTACAGGGCTATTGAGATTTTCTGTTTCATCTTGTATTAGGTTAAGTAAGTTGTATTTTTCAGGAAATGTGTTGGTTTCATCTAGCTCGTTGAATTTGCCAGCCTAAAATTATAATAGTGTATTATCCTTTTAATGTCTATAGGATCTGTAACAATAAACACCTACCTAATTCTTGATATTGGCGATTTGTATTTTATTTTTTTCCCTTGATCATTCTAAGGGGTTTGTCAATTTTGTTGATCATTTCAAAGAACCAAACTTTTTGACTAGTTAATTTTCCTTATAGTTTATCTGGGTTTTTTTTTTTCATTGATTTCATTTATTTTCTTCTTTCTACTTATTTGAGTTTACTCTGTTCCTCTTATTCCAGCTTCTTATGAATGTATAACCTTTGGTCATTGATACAAGAATTTAAAGTTAGATCTTTCTTTCTATATGCTGTATTAGCTTTATCCCACAAATTTTGACAGGTTATATGTTCTTTATCATATAGTTCAAAATACGTTCTGATTTACCCTCTGATTCCTTTGACCCATGAATTATTTGAAATATGTTGTTTAATTTCTAAATATTCAAGGTTTTTCTAGGTATTGTTATTAATTTTTAGTTTTTCTGTAGTCAGAAAGCATACTTTATATGATTTAATTTGCTTAAATGTATTGAAACTTGTTTTATGTCCTAGTAAGCCATATATTTAGCAGTTCTGATATAGCATTTTATAAATATCGATCAGATCATGATGGTAGTGTTATTCAAATTGTACAAGTCTTTACTGATTTTTGTGCTTCGTTTTTCAATCAATTGTGAAAGAGTATTAACATTCAGTACTATTGTGGTAGAATTGTCTTTCTCCTTTTAATTCTGTCAATTCTTCTTCATGTATTTTGAGGCTTAGAAGTAGGAAACAGCTGCAAACAGTCAGGAAATCTACATTCAAATTTGGGTAAGGCTGGGCATAAAGTAATGTTGGAGCTACTTATTTTCATCTTTAGTAAATAATAATTGTATGGATAGTAATAACAATATTATCTTGCTGTTCCTGGTTCATGCTGTAAGACTTTATTACAAGAAAAACAGTGTTATCAGGAGAATCTGCAGGCACTTTAAAACAAGATAGTATTAGATGGAGTTTAAATGAGATCTTTTATAGAAAATTGTCTCAAAATGTATAAGCACAAGTAGGATGTATCATAACCATCATCACTATAAAATCAGATCGCGTCCTCTTCTACCCCATTCTGTGCTAGAGAAGGTTGTGGTCTGTCAAGACTTTAGTATTAGTAAAGTTCATTAGAGCTGTTTTTAAAAACTCCTTAAAGTCATTATCGTAAAAGGGAGCTCTTTTCCATGAAAAAAAAAAGAGGGGGCTGGGAAATAAAAATATTCAGAAAATTGTAAAAGGTACATTGTATGGAATATACAATCATGGTAAAAAATGTTTTCTAAATCTATACATAAGCCAATGAAAAGTTGACCTGGATATATTGTTAAATGAAAAAAAGAAAGTTATAGAATAATATGTAATGCGGTTTTTAAAAAGCACACAGCTCTATAGGTATACATGTATATATGTATATTTGTACAGGTCTGGATCAAGAATGAAATTGGTAACTGTGGACAGCTCTGGGAATGGGACTTCAGAATGGAGAATTGGCTGGCAGGAAGGGTAGAGAATGGGAGGTTGAGTGGGGTGTTTGTGGGGAAAGGGAATTTTCTGTAGTTTTATATTACTTGTATTTTCTTTTATAACCAGCATCCATGGTTAAACAAGAACTCTGGTTTTAAATTTTGAACATGAAACAACTGACCAAAAAAGTGGAAAATATGCACTAAAAAATAGTTAAACTTGGGCTGGGTGCAGTGGCACACACCTGTAGTCCTAGCACTATGGGAGGCCAAAGCATGCGGATCGCTCAAGGTCAGGCGTTTGGAACCAGCCTGAGCAAGAGCGAGACCCCATCTCTACTAAAAAGTAGAAAGAAATGAATTGGCCAACTAAAAATATATAGAAAAAATCCACCAGGCATGGTGGCACATGCCTGTAATTCCAGCTACTCGGGAGGCTGAGGCGGGAGGATCGCTCGAGCCCAAGAGTTTGAGGTTGCTGTGAGCCAGGCTGATGCCACGGCCCTCTAGCCCGGGAAACAGAGTGAGACTCTGTCTTAAAAAAAAAAAAAAATAGTTAAACTTTCTAATATTGGGACAGACCAGAACCTTGAAGAAAGACAAAGAAGAACTCTGCAGTGAATTTATCTGTATAATGGAAGGCTGGATAAGATTACTGGCGTATTTTTTTCACAAATTCATGAAAATAATATGCTCTGAGATTAATGATAATTATACATTGTAACCTGTTTGTTCTATTGGATTTTTAATCAAACTTAAAAAAAAAAGTAAGCAAACACAAAGCTACCTCCCGAGCATTGTAGCACAATAGCAGCCTTCTCCTGTGCTGTCCTTTATGAGATTAATTAAATTAAATTGGCTCTTAGGGAATCACAAATTCTACAGAAGCCTAAAGCAAGAAGACGCGCAGGGCTCCCTAGCCACTGCAACGCTGAATCGGGACCGGGTTTGATGGGGCGGTTGATGGGAGGCAGTGTTTGCTTGCAGACAGCAGCACCTCTAAGCAAATCTGTTGTGTCCGAACAAGATATGTTGGCCTGCTCGGCGCATGTGGTCATGTAGAATGCAAAGCAATCAGATACCAGGAAGGGGTATTACCACTGTGTGGCAGACACCTAACCACCCTTTATTTTCCTGCCCTCTTTCTTGCGAGTAGAGTCCTCTTCCCATTCCAAGAAGCTGAAAATCATCCAGAGATAGGCAACTTACCATCCTCCTTGAGTCCGTGTGCAGATATGTGACCCACGCCCCTCCAGTGGGACTGAAGGGGAGTGTTTCCAGGGGTAAAGAGAGAATGAATGAGCAAACGGTCTCTCTCTCTCTCATCCTTCCTACTTTTAGACATAGTTGGGTTTTGCCACTGCAGACGCCATCTTGTAACTATGAAGAAACACACGTCACTGATACCCTGAAGAGGACAGAGCAGCAAGCAAGAAAGAAAATCTGGGCTCATCAGTCCACTGGGAATCCCACCTTGGAATCGCCTTCTTCTGTACTTCTGTTTGCTCTGCCCTGGATATGGAGAGGTCTGTGACCTGCTCAGGGGTCGAGCGGCAATCATGGGCAAAGAGAAGGGATTGGGTGTTGCCCATACCACTGGCGTAGCTAAGAGGATAACCATATTGTCACAGCAGAATTATTACAGTGTGAACAAGGAAAAGTTTTGAGTCACCCTTTGTGGTCCAGGAAAGTCCTGGAACCATGGCTGCTGGAAATAGAGGATGAAATCCCCCTGGGAGGGCTGTAGCCCTTCCCCTACACAGAGCCCCATTTCCCAGGGGGATCTGCATCTTCCAGGCCAACTCGCAGTGAGACAGAACATGTCTGGCTGTTCACAGCAGATGCCCAATCCATTCAATCTATTTACTTTACAAGTCATTTTTTTAATGCAGAATTTCCCATCGTTAGCATTAAGGCTGCATATCCTCCATGGTTCCTTCCAGAATTCTTCTTCAGAGACGTCCTCCACCAAGGCCCTGCAGACTTCTGTACCTAACTGTTAGTCCAGCTGAGGGCTCTAACTCCCAGGCAATAATAATAATATAATAATAAAATACTAACGCTTACTGAGCACTCATTCTATGCCATATGCTATTTTTAAGCTTTTTCATGTACTAGCAATAATTCTATAAAAAGGATACTATCAGTGCCCCCATTTTACAGGTGAGGACGTTAAGGCCTGAGGTAACTTACCCAGCTTCTCACATTTAGTAGGCGGCAGAGCTGGGCTACAGTCCCTGGCAGTCTGGCTCCAAAGACCATGTGCCCAATCCTACACAAAACTTCCTTTTAGAAATAAGCTTCCTTTAGAATAAGGAGAGAGGCAAAAGAGAGAAATTAACCCAAAGAACAGATGCGCAGAGGGACAGTGTGGGAAGAGACAGAGAGGCTACAAGTGGAGAAATGATTTAACAATGTAAGTTGTCCTGTGTCACCAAGTCAGTCCAACACCCTCTCCATGTTTCTTCTTTCTGCAAAAACAGAGAAGGCAGCATTGCAGTCAAACTGTCTCCCTCACTAGTTTACAAGGTCACCAGCATGTTCTCCCAAAGCTCCTACTTTTGCTCTGTCCATTCCTTCATTACATTTTATTTGTTTGTTTAATAGTGTATTCACCGCCTGATAGACCTGACTTTTAGGTTGCTGTTTTTCTTGTCATTGTTTTGGAGACAGTGGATGGTGTTATCCTTTTGGTGGCACGAGACGAGGATTCAGTTTCAGTTTTCTTAAACAGGGGTGGGAAGATACACAAGAAAAATATCCTCTTTTCCTCGTGTTCCTTTCCCCTAAGGATGCTCACAGCCAACAGAAGAGTGGGCTGCCAAAATGACATCTCTTCACTGACACCTGCTTATAGGCACTTTTCTCAGTGAGGACCCCTCAGGATCCTTGAGACTGGATCAGAAGCAGTTTCACTAGAACTTCCCCTGAGACAGTAATTCTCAACCCTGATGCAGTTAGAATCACTTGGGGAGCTTTAAAAAGACAAAAACAAAAAGACAGCTCCCACACTACGCCCCTGACCTGTGGTATCAGAATCTCTGGAGGTGTGGCCCAAGCAATAGTATTGTTTGTTTATTTGTTTGTTTTTGAGACAGAGTCTCACTCTATTCCCCGGGCTAGAGTGAGTGCCGTGGCATCAGCCTCCCTCACAGCAACCTCAGACTCCTGAGTTCAAGCGATCCTCCTGCCTCAGCCTCCCGAGTAGCTGGGACTACAGGCATGTGCCACCATGCCCGGCTAATTTTTTCTATATATATTAGTTGGCCAATTAATTTCTTTCTATTTTATAGTAGAGACAGGGTCTCGCTCTTACTCAGGCTGGATTTGAACTCCTGACCCTCCCGCCTCGGCATCCCAGAGTGCTAGGATTATAGGTGTGAGCCACCGTACCCGGCCCCTTCGTGAGAACAGTGTGGTTGAGAACCACTTCCCTAAAATAATGTGTGACCTCATTATTAAAATATCATTTTCAGAAAGGTAAAATTATGGCTCTTATGCAAATATAAAATGAATGTGTGAAATTTATTCAACTCATCAATAAAGGAGCCAGTAATATGTCAAAGTCAGTTCAAAGAGCATTTGAGGAGCTAAATATTTATAGGCAATGTCAGCATAATGTTGTTGTGTTTAGATACAGAACTCGTTGATGTCACTCCCCAAAACAATTTACAGATTCGATGCAATCCCCATCAAAAATCCCAATGGCCTTTTTCAAAGAAATGAAAAGCCAATTCTAAAATTCACAAGGAATTGCAAAGAATCCCGAATAGCCAAAACAATCTTAAAAAAGCAGAGCAAAGTTGAAGGACTCACACTTGCTGATTTCAACTCTTATTACAAAGCTATAGTAATCAAAGCAGTGTGGGACTGGCCTAAATATAGACATATATATAATGGAATTGAATAGAGTCCAGAAATTAACCCATATATCTGTAGTCAATTGATTTTTAACAAGGGTGCTAAGATAATTCAGTGAGGAAAGAACAAGTTTTTCAACAATGCTGCTGAGACAATTGGTTATCCACATGCCAAAGAATGAAGTTGTACCCTTACCTCATATCCTATACCATAAAAAAAAAAAAAAAAAAACTTCAAAATGGATTAAAGACATAAATGTAAGAGCTAAAACTATAAAACTTAGAAGAAAACATAGGAGTAAATCTTCATGACTTTGTATTTGGCAATTTTTTCTTAGATATAATACCAATGGCACAAGCAACAAAAGAAAAAATAGAAAAATTAGACTTAATTAACAGAGTGAGAAGGTAACCCACAGAATGGAAGAAAATATTTTCAGATCACATATCCTTTTTTTGTTTTTTTGAGATGGAGTCTTGCTATATCACCCACACTGGACTCAAACTCCTGAGCTCAAGTTCTCCTCCCACCTCAGCCCTCCAAGAAGCTGGGATTATAAACATAAGCCAATGATCTGACCAGATGATATACCTCATAAGGATTTAATATCCAAAATATATAAAGAATTTCTACAACTCGACAACAAAAAATCTAATTTAAAAATGACAAAGGTCTTCTCACTCTGTTGCCCAGGCTAGAGTGAGTGCCGTGGCATCAGCCTCACTCACAGCAACTTCAAACTCCTGGGCTCAAACAATCCTCCTGCCTCAGCCTCCCGAGTAGCTGGGACTACAGGCATGCACCACCATGCCCGGCTAATTTTTTCTATATATATTAGTTGGTCAATTAATTTCTTTCTATTTATAGCAGAGACAGGGTCTCACTCTTATTCAGGCTGGTTTCGAACTCCTGACCTGGAGCAATCTGCCTGCCTCGGCCTCCCAGAGTGCTAGGATTACAGGCATGAGCCACTCCACCCAGCCAATGACAAAGGTCTTAATAAGCCATTTCATCAAAGAAGACATACAAGAAGCCAACAAACTCAATGTCATTAATCATTAGAGAAATGCATACTAAAACCACAATGAGATACTAGTCCATCCCCACAAGTTTGACCATACAAAATAAAAAGAACGTCGGTTGTAACAAAGATGTGGAGAAATTTGTACATTGCTGGTGAGAGTCTAAAAGAGTTTAGTTGCTATGGAAAAGTTTGGTGCATACTCAAAAAGTTAAACATAGAATAACTACCTGACCCAGCAATTCCACTCCTAGATATATACCCAAAAGAATTGAAAATAAGTATTCAAACAAATACTCGAATGTTCATGTGTCTATCAACAGATGAAACCATAAACAAAACATGGTATGCACATACAGTGAAATATTATTTGGTCATAAAAATGAAGTACTGATAACATATTACAACACATATGAACCTTGAAAACATTATGCTAGATGAAAGAAGCAAGACACAAAAGCACATATGATGATTCCATTGATTCCATTTATGTATAACATCTATAAGAGAATAAGAGAATCCATAGAGATAGAAATCAGATTAGGAGTTACCGAGGACTGGGGGGATGGTAGAAAGGTGAATGACTAATTTATGGATGCAGAGTTTCTTTCTGGAGTGATGAAAATGTTTTAAAGCTAGAGGTGACAGTCAAAAACAACATTCCGAATATACTAAGTGCCACTGAATTGTACACTTTACAATTGTTAATGATTAATTTTATGTTCTATGAATTTTACTACAACTTTTTAAAGAATTGGTTAATGTCCAACAGGGCCACAAATTGTAACCTTTAAGGTTATCTGTTCTACCTGATAGAAACTAATTTCATCTTGCTAAACCCTATCAGACAAAAATCTACAAGTTAACCTCTGCCCCTGAGAGTTATAAAATTAGCCCTGACAACAGGAAGTCAACCTGGCAAAAAAAGAACATCCAGTAATCTCTTCCCGATCTCCAAGTTTTGAGTATTTTTCCTGACATCATAGAGAGTCCAGGTTACTGGTTCAGACCTTACCCTTAGTGAAGTTTACTTTCCCCACTGCCTTTTTTTCTCTAAGTCAGCTGGCCTTGTTCAGGGCCACCCCAATCCATTAAAAATGTACTTAAATTGAAAAGAGAAAGTCTTGGGACCTAGATTTCTTTACTCCCTGAAGATTTCTTGGACCATATGCAAATTTGCCCACCTCCTCCCAGCAATCTGCAAGCCTTCTGTGTGTGATATATCTACTTATCTATAGCCTGCATTTATCTGTTTGACAATGGGGAAGGAATAAGAGTATCATTCCTTTTCTACAGAGCTGGGTTCTCAGCCCTTATCAAGTAAAGCAAACAGAAAGCCCTACCAAACCCTTTCACCAAAAAATGGGAGAGGTTGGGAAAGAGAGAGGGAGAGATAATGCACTCCCAAGAGCATGCAGATATTGGAGTGATTTGTATAGGACTTCAGTTTTTACTAAACATTCTGGGGATGACAGAAAGCTTTTAAATTTCAAGAATTTAAACAAAGCTGAAGACTTCTGCAGGAAAACACACGCGGATACATAAACACAAAACTCCGCAGATAATTTCAGATGGCTTTGTGCCTCCGGAAAGGTAAAGAAATTCCTACTCTGGGTCCCCCCACAAACTAGCAGAAATGGCCAAGGCAAACGACTTTAAAGTGTTCTGTGTGATCCGACTGACCCACCTGTACACAAAGCCTCCGGTCTGTAGCCTTCATTCTTTTGAAATGAACCACAGAATGTATGAAATTGCCCCCTTTATTTGTAGGTTCCTGAAATGAGGGGATCAAGTTGTGAGCAAGGAAGAAAACATCAAACGGGAAAACTTCTTCCTAGAACCCCTTTTTTGGAGTTCTGTCATTTTACCTAATTAGCTCACTACTGTTAAAAGACATTTCATTTTGAAAATCTTATTTATTTTGCTCCACCGCGTTTATTTGCTCAGTGCCACTCTTATGTACATAGATCGCTGGTTGATGAAGTCTAGAGCAGTCTTACCCAGCATGCATTGCAGTATGAGGCTGAAAACGCAATGAACTTCTACATCAACTTCTAACTGAAATTAATCATCTTCACTTTTTTCTCAGCTTGAATACTTTTTATGGGCCTTTCTGCTCCTCCCACTCACAAACTCATTATTTTCATCTGCTAATTTACTTTTTAATTACTTTATTCTACCATA